GCTCATTTATTTGACTTTCATTAGTTCTGTTTTTACATTACTAATGTCAGGAGGATTTTTTTTTTGCTAGGCCATCACACAGTCAGACGGAAGCTTCAACAGAGCCAGTGGGTGTACAGTTTAAAACATCATCATTGTACACCGCAACCTTCTTCACCAAGTCCAGATGAAACCGTACCAAGTGAGTGGTTGTCTCTGATAAAGGAGATGCGACCATCACCAGACAATTTATCATCAATAAAGACTGCAATCAATCAAACCTTCAGTTACAGAAGAAGATGGATAACAACAAAATCCCTTCAAAATCTCTTGCTGAAATCTTCAAGGACTATCCCAGATTTCTTGACATGCCAGCTTTGGTAATAGACATGCTCAACTAAGACAGAACTTTACACAGACATTTATTTCATAATTGTAATATTAATATTTCTTTGTTTCTGATTTCTTTCTTTCTTTAAAGATGGACATTGAATTTTCCAAGCTCACAGATGGGAACGAAGACTTGTTTATCCAGAAAAGGGAAGGGACGATAATTCCAGAACTCAAAGAAATAGCATCTTGGAGAAGAAAATTGACATCAGACTCTTACTGAAGATGGCTGACAATCAGCATGATGGTATGAGTTTCAGCCAAAATATCTGTTGCATGTGCACACTTTTCTAAAAATAGTTTAAAAGATAAAACTTGATGTGAATATTAATATTCTATTAAAGATATTAATTTCTAATATATTTTGTTTAAATTCTTATTTTGCATGTGACCTGTATCTTCACTTCAAGATGAGCTGTTAAACTGTTAAAGATCCTTATTCATCTTCTTCCACCTACTGCCTCTGGGAGAAGTGTTGCTGGGAGTAAATGCTGTGTGACTTCTGCTGTGTCCTACCTGTTGGAGCAAATGCCGGTATAGTTTTTATTGGTTTAGCTTATGATAAATAAAATGTTTCTAATGCAGCAACATTTTCTTATGCTTTTTATTGTTTCATTCCTGAAGGCTGGTACCACCGTTACATCTTTGCTCACTGAATCCATGAAAGGGACCCTGAAGTCAGCTCAGCCGCAGTTGGTTTCTATTGGTTGTCTAGGACATGGATCCTTGTACGTGTACGTGTACTTGTAGCTGTGGCAAAGAATGACTCTTTTGCTCTTCCACTCGATCCTGAAAGCCTGACCTGTGCTGTAGACAGACTTTTCAAATTCTTCTGGCTGTGCAATCTTCATTATCCATGCCAACTGTCTTCTGTTTTTTCTTTTTTTGAGTATATATATATATATATATATAT